TTAGTTCACTTTTAATTTCTAAGGGAAAATTAGTTCCTTGAAATTAAAAACAAACAGCATCCTTACAGTGTTAGATGCATCTTTCCTTTCCAAACAAATTTTCGAAGTAAAGCTTCTTATTGTTCCATAGTTTATCAGAGATAGAGTACAGAAACTTTAGATACTTGATTTATTAATCTTTCTTTTGCTGTAATATAATTAAAAAGAGGGAAATTGTTTTTTCAGTGTTTATTTTTCCCTGTGAGTGTTTCAAAGTTTTATAGTTTTTTTTTTTTTTTTAGATGGAGACTTGCTCTGTTGCCCAGGCTGGAGTGCAATGGCTCAGTCTTGGCTCACTGCAAACTTCCCCTCCTGGATTTAAGTGATTCCCCTGCCTCAGCCTTTCAAGTAGCTGGGATTGCAGGTGCCCTCCACCACGCCCAGCAATTTTTTAGTAGAGGCGTGGTTTCACCATGTTGGCCAGGCTGGTCTTGAACTACTGACCTCGTGATCTGCCTGCTTCAACCTCCCAAAATGCTGGCATTACGGACATGAGCCACCGTGCCCGGTTGGTTAACTATTTTTTTTCTAATTGTTTTAAATCTACTTGTAAGTGAATATAGTTGTGAGATTTATGACAACTATTCTTGCAGACAAATTTTATTGTGGATTGTCATATTTTTAATTTTTATTTTTTTACCTTTAAAATGTAAGTAATGGAAAATAGTAAAAATCTAAGTTGGAAATCTAGTAGTGCAGAAGTTGGCTGGCATCTGCACTGAAGGGGAGACTGAGAAGGGGTCATGCAATTTCAAGCCCTGTAGACATTCATGTAAGACAGAAAATGTAAATATTGATAACAAAGAAATGTTAGAAAAAAAGTAAAAGAAAGAATAGCAAGCCCTTCTTTCCTTTTGCCAAGAGAGCAGCATCTCAGAATGCTGATCTACGTTAGACCCTGAGCCAGTAATTTATGTCAGAGCCTGAATGATGTGCAGAGTCCTCTTGATCTAGCACGCAGAAAATTAATTTTGAAGATTCTTTTGATCTGAGCCTCATTCAGATTCAGATTCAGATTCCATGAATTATTCTGTACATTTGTGTCCCCAGACAGTGCCATCCCATTAGGGCCCCTGGTTTACATCTCCCAGCCCCTCTGCCTGTAACTCTAACTCTGTCCTGGGCAAGGGTGAAGTGGGTGCCTCAGAGCCCTGCAAATACATGGCAGAGCTGGGCTTGAACTTCAGAATCCAAATCACAGGAATTTTTACAATTCTTAGCTTCCTAAATGGCTGTACCATATTTTCACCCTTCCATAGGTGATATATCCCTCATCTGTGCACTTTAAAAACTTTTAACAATTTAACCCAAATGCCCCCGATTTATAACAAATGAATAGCTGTCCTCAGAATCTCCTGAATAATCTGATATTCAACAGGCACACTCTTTGGAGGCAGAAAGCAGATGAATAACTTCCTTTTAAAAATAGCAATGTCCTGGAGAAGTACAGAATTTATCTTCTCTGATGCCTTCACTAGTATACACAGGTAACTGTCCTCTCAAGAGAGGTCATCCCCAACATGTTCCCAGAACGAAGCATTGTCCTTACACATATCAATTGTTGCCTTTTGCATTCACTTATGGTGTTTAGTCAGTTACTTTGACATGTGAGGTTTGAATAATAAATTAAGACATATCAAAAACAACAACTCGGAGTGTTGGGTAAGGGTGATGAAAGCTTCTTCCTTTCTTTCCTTCCTCTCTTTCTAAAAGGACTCGGTTCCTTGAAATTTGAGTCCTGAGCCAGATTTACATTTCACGTGCACATTCTCTGTCAAAGTTTTTTTCTCTCCCGGCACCAATGTTGTGGATGCACTTGTTGCTCAGGTCTCGGTAAAGCATCCCAGCTTTACAGAACTCATTTATGCCTAGTGTTCCATTATTGGAACGGTAAGCATGTGGGAGTTGTTTATATCCTACTGTTCAACAAGGTCATTGCCAAGGTCCGATTTCAGAATTCAAAAAACTGCAACCTCAGCCATAAATGGGCTAAGGGGATCTCTCATAAGAGGGAAAGAAATTCTGCCTGAAGCTGTGATGGACAGGCAAGAGAAGGGAGCACACCTATCTTCTACAAAGCGGGATTCCCAACAGCCTTCCCCATAAGACACGAAAACTGTCATACATGCAAATCTAAAAAAAAGACAAAAGCTGGGAGAATTCACCAAGAAAAACACAACTGTCTAAGTGCCCACAAGCCCAGTCTAAACTGTGCTTCTAGTAACATACACAGAAAGATATAACAAAAATAAAATAATTTACAATCCTATTAGCAACTGTTAGTTTTTCATTTTTCATGCTTATACATGCATAGGTTCTTACTTAAAAGGAAATATTATATATTCCCACTTATGATTTCACAAACATCATTTCATATTAGTATTTAAGCATTTATACCATCATTTAAAATGGTTATATGGTATTATTTTCTCTGACCATATAATAATTTGTTCAATAAATCTATCATTGGGCATTTGTGTTATTTCCAATTTTTCACTATTATGAAAGCTTCAGAATAAAACTTTATTTATAGCAAAAAAATAACAAAGTGTGTTTAGCAGCTTGCTACAAGCTCCAAAATAACACAAGAGGAAAAGATGACAGGGAGCCCCAAGGTATGGAGAAAATCTAGACAACAGCATGGAAAGGGTGGCAGAATTTGTCGCTTTGCCTGTAGGTGACATAACTTCACCCTCCCAGGCCAATGGATATCTAGCATCTCCAGGAGGGAGTTTCCAGTACAAAATCTCTCTAGCCTTCATCATGGGAAGTTCAGCCTGCTCCCTGCAGCAGGAAGCGGGCCTGCATTCTCCTCAACAGCTGATCAGGACACCTCACTCCTTTCTACTTCCTCTCCTACAGCCACACCATTCATGCCCAAGGTCCCTTCTGCCATTCAAACTCCTGTTTCTAGTTTCTCTCAGCTCTGGTACTTTGTGTCTGCCTTCTGATCTAATATTCCTCATACTGTTAGAAATGCTGTTATTTGAGTGTGAAGTTCTCAAGGTTGCGAGCTGTATTATATATTTCTGTGTCCTCCACAGAGCTTTGAGTACAGCATATGCTCAGTAAGCGATTTGCCATGATCTGATTTCTCTTTATCTTACGTAAGTGCATCTATTCATTGATTTGGTCACTGGACATTTGCTTAGAATCTACTGGGAACTGCAGAGGTGGTGATGGATGCCCCAGTTGCCATCCACTTTCTTAATTCATTCCCTGGTTCCCTCATTAATTCTCTCTTCATTCATTCTCTGGTTCCCTCATTAATTCACCTTAGAAGTTTTCTCTCATTCACTCTCCAGTCGTCATGACTTGAGATAGAAAATGGGAAAAGGGCCGGATGCAGTGGCTCATTCCTGGAATCCCAGCACTTTGGGAAGCCAAGGTGCGTGGATCACCTGAGGCCAGGAGTTCGAGACCAGCCTTCTCAACATGGTGAAACCTCGTCTTTACTAAAAATACAAAAATTAGCTGAATGTGGTGCACACCTGTAATCTCAGCTACATGGGAGGCTGAGGCAGAATAATTGCTTGAATCCAGGAGGCAGAGGTTGCAGTGAGCTGAGATTGTGCCACTACATTCCAGCCTGGGTGACAGAGTGAGACTCCATCTCAAAAAACAAAAAACAAAACAAAACAAAACAAAAAGCCAAACAAATGGAAAAACCTCCACCCCTTGTGTTCTTTGGACCTTTCTTAGTCACATGGTCCCACCTGGGGCTGCTAATTAGTGCAGGTGGTAGACAGCCGGGATGAGGTGGGGGAGAGGAGACAAACGAGGAGGGAGGGATCACAATGTGTGTGCATGAAAACTAATCTTTGAGGATGTTCACTTTAGTGTTATTTAAATCAGAACAAAAAATTAGAGATGTTCTAGCTAAATTACATTGCAGAATAACCAAAGACGTGAGAATATATATAATAGAATGTAACAAATGCAGATTACAGAACAGGAAGTTTTTACAGTGGGTTGCTATCTTTCTTTTTAAAAGTCCACTGTGGAGACAATCTATAGGAGAAACTTCAAAGTATTAATGGATAGTATATCTAAGTGGTGGGATTATACATGATTTTCTTCTTTGAGTTTACAAACATTTTCTGCAATGATCCTGAACTTTTGATTCAGGTAAGAAAAGGATATATATATACATATATATGTGTGTGTGTATGTGTGTGTGTATGTGTGTGTGTGTGTGTGTGTGTGTATATATATACATATATACACACACACATATATATACACGTATATATATATATATATATACACACATACACATATATATACACATACATATATACACACACACACACACACACACATATATATATATATATATACACACACACACACACACACACACACATATGTACATACATATATATAAAGGAAAAAGGAGACCAGGATGCAAGTCCTCCCAGAATGGCAGAGCCTTCTGGCAAATTCAGTGCAAGGAAAGGGTCCCAATGCTGAGTCGGAATGCAGACACATCCAATCTCCACCTCCCAGCTCAGGGGCTTGCTCACTGATGGAACCCTCTCTAAGTCTGCTTTTTCTCCCAGCCTTGAAGAGAAAAATAGTAGTGTACATGCATTTTGATCTATTTTCCAATTTTTATCTCTTCAAATACATGAACAAACAGTTGTCACATTCTCCCCCAAGTCACAGTCTGCTGAGAAGCCTGGTTGTTACGCTAAATGAAACCAACTTCTAAAAACCAGGAAAACAGACAAACAAATCTAGAAGTAAAGATCTTTCCCAATTGACGACATTAAAACGTTCTAAGTAATACTTCCATGGTGTGTAGAAGGGACGAACCTTGTTTGGATGGATGGCAGGTGCACCGAAATGTAAGATAAATATGGAGACAATGACCCACGTCTCCGAATGAGGGCGCCCCTGGAGGTACCACACTGAGACAGGTTAGAGGGGAGGTGGGGTTGTCGGAGCTGAAGCCATACCTTAGTCTGGAACGTACAAAACATGTGCGTCAGAAACGGATGCTCCCAGGCCAAGGAAAGAACTCTCCTCTCTACCATCGTGCACTCGACATCATCGTCCATCAAGACCACATCTTTCTTTAAGGCCTTTATTGCAAAAAATTGATTGGTTTTCTTGAATTCTGCCAGGAAGACCTAGAAGGAAGGGGAAGAAGTAACTTATTTTAGAATTTGGATTCTCACTTCTTAAAAAAGAGACAAAGTCTTGAGAGAGACCTGTGTTGAATGAGAAAAGGGCTTTCTTCTCCAGCCCCCATCCATCCCGGATAGGCTATTCCCAAGACAAAATGGAGGACTTCACTGGCTTCAGATATTACAGCGCTGTTTCATGCTACCTTGGTACTCTTTCCAAGGGTTTCACAAAATTATTAAGCAATTGAATGGGTTTTTAAAAGTGTGCCCTGCCTGCTCGGGAACCTGAGTAACAGTATAATAAAAATCCAGAGAGACAAAAGCCCGGTGAAGAAATAAGAGCCGGAGTAGCAGAGAGGAGATATTGTACTTGAAACATCACTGCAAGTGCACATAAAACCTAGCTTTATGTTTTACTCAGTTTTTCCAGGCCAAGAGAAGAATGGAGGGATATAGTTCTCCTTGTGTACTTAAAAAATAAACACGGGCCTGGTGTAGTGGCTCATGCCTGTACTCCCAGGATTTTAGGAGTCCAAGGCAGGTGGATCACCTGAGGTCAGGAGTTCGAGACCAGCGTGGTCAACATGGTAAAACCCTGCCTCGACTAAAAAAAAAAAAAACCAAAAACATAAATTAGCCGGGCATGGTGGTGGGTGCCTGTAGTCTCAGCTACTTAGGAGGCTGAGGCGGGGAATTGCTTGAATGTGGGAGGTGGAGGTTGTGGTGAGCTGAGATTGCACCATTGCACTCCAGCCTGGGCAACAGAGCGAGACTCTGTCTCAAAAGGAAAAAAAAAACAAACCCACCATTTTCTCTGACAGCATAGCAAAGAATTATTCATGGCCAAATGTATGGCACATAGTAGGTCCTAAAATGTGAATGGCACTGGGTTCAAAGAATGACTTGCTCAGATTCTTGGAGCTATTAGGGAAGGATTTAACTCCAAAGTTTACTTTTCCCACTTGATTTCGTGGCCCTTACATCAGAGGACACCAAAATGTGAATGACACATTTTAGGACCTACTATGCGTCATGCATTCTGCTACCTGCTTTACATTTTCAACCTAGTTTTATTAGCTAATTGAATTCTTAGCTTGTCATGCTCTGCAGGACAGAAGTTAACAGCAACAACAACAAAATACAGAGTTCAAAGAATAACTTGCTCAGATTCAGATTCTTGGAGCTACTAGGGGAAGATTTAACTCCAAAGTTTACTTTCCCCACTTGATTTCGTGGCTTATGTATCAAAGGACACCAGATGGCATATGATGGCGGGTTTCAACAATTTTAGTTTTTGCAAATGATACAGCAACACACTGTTGGCAATTGTAAGGGCATGGCATTTGGATACAGAAAATTCTAGCTCCAGTTTTACTTCACAGACATTTACTAGCGGTGGAAATGTGGGCAGACCAATGAGGCTCCCTGGGCTTCAGTTTCCAATTACTGCATTCTCTAACTGACGGGACTATTGTGAAAGTCAGATGAGATCAGATCTGGAAAAGTCAGCTCTAAAATGATCTCTGAATCACAGTTGTTAAAATTCAGTCATTTGTCATTTGTTTCTTTTGTTGACTTTTGGGAAAGGCTGAAGTCAGTGATGCTACACCAGTCCTGGACATGTGAGTGTCTAAGTTTAAAACACAATGGTGCAGATTTGTGGATTGGTGGTAGCTGACTTGATAGTAGGGGTGAAACTTAGATGAGAATCAGTCAAATGAATGATGCTCACATCCCCAGAAAACACACAATTTGGGCCAGGCATGGTGGCTCATGCCTATAATCCCAGCGCTTTGGGAGGCTGAGGCAGGTGGATCACAAGGTCAGGAGTTTGAGACCAGCCTGGCCAACATGGTGAAACCCTGTCTCTACTAAAAATACAAAAAAATTAGTCAGGCATGGTGGCAGGTGCCTGTAATCCCAGCTACTTGGGAGGCTGGGATAGGAGAATCCTTTGAACCTAGGAGGCAGAGGCTGCAGTGAGCTGAGATAGCACCACAGCATTCCAGCCTGAGCAACAGAGCAAGATTCCATCTAAAAAGAAAAAAAGAAAAAGGGAAAACACACAATTTGTTTCCCTGGGCTTAAAAGTAGATTGAAAACAAGGGTCTAGAGGCCTTGGTGAGGATACATACTTTCCATATAAAGCCAGAAGGGAGAGAAAAGAAGGTTTTGGAGTGTTCTCAGTGTAGTGAGAAAGAGCAACATGGCCGTCCCATCTTGCTTTGATGCCTCCCCCCACTCCACTCCTCTCCATGCATAGGGACCCAAGGTCCTGATGAAAAGACGTGGACGGCTTTGGACATGGAGTGGGGAAACCTGGGGCTCCCAGCTGTGCCTTGGGATACCGACCAAGGCTTGAAGGTTTAACTAAATGTCTTTCTTATTAACCTTCTTCAAATGTAGAAATCCACATGGGAACAAAGAAAGATAAACATTTCATGAACAATTAAAAGTACTCTTTTAGTAACTGCTTCTTTCAGTAAAACATCCTAAAGCCAGCCATAAACTAAGAAGCCGAAAAGACCATTTCCATCTATATAATGTGCTTTCAATTTTTGGTAGCAGGTTATAATTGCACATTAATTGATGCTAAATTGTAATGAAGACTGGCTGTAAAATTGTCTATTATGCTCAGATTAGCACCAAATGAGCCTGCTGTGGTTCATATTATTGTGGAAATGAACAAAAAGAATTCAAGAATATCAGCTACGATGTGCAAGAGAGAGTAGATGTTGCTGAAAGGCAAGTCACCAGTGTTTAAATCCAAACCCCAACTGGAGCACAATATTATTCAGCTGTGGCGACTGCTCAGTTGCATTTTAGTTTGTTTAATATTAAATAAACTGGGTAAGATTTCCTGCCAAAGTCTGGTGAGCAGGTGTGGTGCATAATGCTGCCTTTGGCTGCACAGATTCATGGAATAGTTGTCGCTCACTAAAATGTTTGTATGGGTCCCATCCAAGAATTTAAAACAAATAGGAGCCCTGTTAATACATGAGATATCCTTAATATCAAAAATTACCTAAAAGCCTACTTTCCATATCGTCCCTCCTTAAATCACTAGCTTGAAAATTTCCTGCAGTCACTGATAGTGGGTTATAATTTCTTAAATTGTCTCTTCTTCCTTCTCCTCACCTCCCTTTTCCTTCTTGTTCCCCTTTTCCTCTTTCCTTCCTCTCCTTGTCATCTGTGAGTGACAGAGACAACCCCCCACCTGCATGCATGGTAGGAAGAATTTAGAGGAGGGACTTTCTCCGCAGTTTTTTTCTGGGACTCTCAAGCTACAATTTTGTTATGGGCTTAATTGTGTCTATGCGGAAGTCCCAATCCCCAGTCCCTTGGAATGTGACCATATTTGGACACAGGACCTTCAAAGTGGTAATTAAGGTTTAACGAGGTTATTAAGGCAGGTCCTAATCCAATACGACTGGTGTTTTCATAGAAGAGAAAATTTAAGCCAGGTGTGGTGGCACAACTGTAATCCTAGCTACTAGGGAAGTTGAGACGTGAGGATCACTTGAGTTTGAGAGGTCAAGACCAGCCTGGGCAACACAGTGAGACCTATCACAAAAAAGGAGGAGATTTAGATGCAGACATGCACCGCAGGAAGATGGTATGAAGGCACAGAGAGAGGGTGGCCATTACAAAGCAAGGAGAGGAGCCTGGGAAGAAAGAACCCAGGCGACACCTTGATGGTGAACTTCCGTCCTCCAGACCTGTGAGAACATGAATTTCTGTTTGTTAAGTCAGCCAGTATGTGATATTTTGTTATAGCGGCCTGTATTAGTCTGTTCTCATGCTGCTAATAAAGACATACTGGAGAGTGGATAATTTATAAGGGAAAGAGGTTTAATGGACTCACAGTTCCACATGGCTGGGGAGGCCTCGCAATCATAGAGGAAGACACAGGCGGGGCAAAGGGATGTCTTACATGGCAGCAGGCAAGAGAGAGCATGTGCAGAGAATGCCCATTGATAAAACCATCAGCTCTCATGAGACTTATTCACCATCACGAGAACAGCATGGGAAAACCCGTCCCATGATTCGATTGCCTTCCACTGGGTCCCTCCCATGACATATGGGGATTACTACAATTCAAGGTGAGATTTGGGTGGGGACACAGAGCCAAACCCTATCACAGCCTAAGCAAACTTATACGAGTCTGAAGACATTTAATAGAGAGAGAGAGAAAATAAAAAAATCACATATAAAGCAAAACAACACTATAGGCTTGAGAATGAAGCAAAAGAAGAAAGAACAAAACGAAACAATCACAAACACCGTGTGAAAGAGGAAGTGGCTGAGGCACCTTTCTATTTCTTTGGTGCCCAAAGACATCAAACTCATAGGCGTGTGGGGGTGTGTACTTTACAAGTAAAGTTAGCTTTGGAGACTACAACGGGCCTAGAATCCTTGGGGATTCCTATTTATTTAGAGATCTCCCAGGAAAGTAACACACGGCCCTGCTGGCTCCACGAGTTTAGTTTCATTAACCAGGAACTTGGCTCATCAGCTCCTGGAGTTGGTCTCCCGTGCAGTAGCTTACCTTGCCAAAACTTCCTTTCCCCAACATCTTGTGCAAGATAAAATCCTCGATTTTCAGTTTCATCTGCAGAGACGGTTTTTCTATGTTCAGTTCAGGTTCTGGAAGATGGCACATTTTATCCACCTCATCCAACGGAGACTCCCAGGAGATTCCCTGGGGCTCTGAAAATGGCAAGCTGGTGGTTAAAAATGCACATGGAGTAATGGAGGTCATTCTAGTTACTTAGAGCACATGCTTTCTCTTCTGCTTCCCATGCTGAGGCTCCATCATAGTAATTGGAGGTGTTTAAAGGGTCTCCTGCAGTTCAGGCAGCTTTAATACCTCTCCATCTATCGGTGAGGGCAGCACCCCCCGTCTGTGAACCCAGCATTTGGAATTTGGAATGTGGACCGTGTCTCTTTCTCCAATAGATTGGGAAATAGTTCAAATTAAGAAACACATTCCAATCAGCAAAAGACCATATAGGCAAAATGCACAAGCACTGTTAATAATGTCAAATCAAGGACAACTAGGGATTCTGACCAAATTTCGGGAAAAAAATGATTTTCAATTGTTTGCATGGCTCACAAGCACAGTGGCATCAATTTCTACAAATTACAGTGGGCGGGCAAGGAAATGAAATCTAGCAGGTATTTAAATATCTGAACCACATCATTCATCACAGAATTCAAGTCAAGATGCTGCCTCCGCTGGCCAGGCATGGTGGCTCACACTGTAATCCAATAACTTTGGGAGGCCAAGGCGGGCGGATTGCCTGGGCTCAGGTGTTGAATACCAGTCTGGGTGACGTGGTGAAACCCCATCTCTACTAACATACAAAAAATTAGCTGGGTGTGGTTGTGCACGCCTGTGGTCCCAGCTACTCTGGAGGCTAAGGCAGGGGAATCCCTTGAACCCAGGAGGCAGAGGTTGCAGTGAGCTGAGAGTGTGCCACTGCATTCAGCCTGGGCCACAGAGTGAGATTCTGTCTTAAAAAAAAAAAAAAAAAGATACTGCCTATGTTGATGGTTGCTGAGACGGTCTCTTTTACTGCCTGGCAACCCCTCCTGGCAACCCCTCCTAAATGTAACCCAAACCTTTCTTTTACATTTTTAAGTTGATTTTAAGTCAGAGAAAACAAAAGAAAAATTGTTTGGAATTTCTCCCTGCCTACAATATTTCCTTTATTTTTAGATCCCCAGGTTTATCTTTCACACTCTTCCTTAAGTCCAAGGACAAAAGTATTTTATAATGTATGCTGAAACTACTCAGGTCTCAGAAACATGGGGTCACATCCACTCATGAATTACTTTCAAACAGTAGGCTGGAAAAACTGCCATAATGTCATGAAAGTGGCCTTGAGTCCTCCTCTTTCCTACCCTTAAATTTGAGTCTCAATGGTGCAGAGTAAGAATGTCTTCTGTGGCTTTCCCACCGACACATTTTAAGATAGATTTATTTCTGTAAAACAATTTGACCTTGACAGAATGTAGCATGCTGAAATTCTAAGAAAACATTTGCAGTTGTTCCTTCCAGACCTATCCCAATTTTCTAATCCCCACCTTCTGCCCCTTACAAAGGTAGCCTAATGTGACTTATTTTGGTTTCTTTTCTAAGAAGTAGGAGCCTCTCAGTTGGTAGCTGGAGGTGCATCACCTATCAGACCACGTAAGCTGATAATATAAATCCAAGGGCATCAGGTTAGGGTTAATGGAGACTAGTGACTGACATTGATTAGATTGCCAACCAGGACAGCTACCTCTTTTTCCCGGTGTTGGTAAACATGGCGGCCTTGCTTCATTTTTGATGGGGCATGGGAGACCAATTTCAACTGGACCTTCTCTGAAGATCTGTTCAGTATCTCTTAAGCAGCGAGCCTAGATGACAAATGGAGAATCAGACCGCCCACCCATCTACCACTGATGGAACAGCTCAGCCTGCTAACCACAGGGACAAAAGCCATTTAAAATTCCTAAATGCATAGGGTCACCAAAGCTCTTCTTTTCCTCAACATTCTTTTAGAATCCCATATTCTGGGAGCGCCTATCTATTGTATTTTATGCATTGGCAGAACACATTTGCCTCCTTTACACTTTTCTGGGGCTGACAGGATTCTCCCATGCCGTCTACATCATTCCATCACAAAGAAGGACAGTGGGTCAATGGATGGGAAAACAGCTGATTCGGGTAATGCCAAGTCTTACGGAGGGTTTATCCTCGGATGTGGGAATTCAGCAAATGCCAAGGCAGTAAACAGCAGGGCAAAAGTTGCCCTGGACTCAGTGTTCTGTGAGGATTCTGGGGATGATACTGGCACATAAGTGTTTTCCCCCAGGCTATTCTATAACCCAAATATATTCACATAAAGCTGTCAATGAATCCTTAATAATTTTAATGAATTTGTATCTGCATTGCTCACGCCATGAAGAAGTTAAGATTTTATAAAGATCTGCATAATACAAATGCATTAAATAAATATCTCAAAGCGGGGGGTATGGGCATGGAGATGAAAGCCAAGGGCAAGGCTGGTAATCAGGAATACATCCCAGCATTTCCTGTAGGGCTGCTACAGGTGGAGGAGCGGGAGGGCATGGGCATCCTTGTTGAGCGGTATGGCGGGAATGTGTTCACGGCTTGTGCTTCTACCTGTTGGGTGCTCTCAATCATGGCCAGCGCTTCAGCCATTAGCTTCTGGTTTATGCCACAAAGGTTGGCCACCTTCGTCTGGCATCTGTGATGTACGTTCATGCCACATGCTGGAAAGAAGAAGGTGGATGGTGAGCCAGAGTGGAAGAATCCCTTGGTGCTGGGCAGTGACTCCCTCTAGAGCTAAGACAGAGCCTTGTGGATAGGGAGGGAAGCCTAAGGTGCCACGGCTGGAGGCATTTGGCCCTGGCTCTCCCTGGTAATGATCCACATGTGGGAAGGGAAAGTGAGGTAAAAGGTGGACTCAACTCTGGAGGAGATGGGGTTCAGACACAGACCAAATTGAAGACTAGCTAAAACAGGGACAAGGCAGAAGTAGCTTTCCAGAAGATGCCCACCTGTGTGCCATGTCGGTTTACTGTTGCCATGGCAACACCCAGAAGTTACCACCCTTTTCCTAGGAACTTAATGTGCATGTAGTTAAAAGTGGGTATAAATGTAATTGTTTAATTTTTCACAGAGATGGGGGTCTCACTTTGTTGCCCAGGCTGGTCTCAAACTCCTGGGCTCAAGCCATCCTTCCACACTGGCCTCCCAAAGTGCTGGGATTACAAGTATGTTATTGTGCCTGGCCTCGAGTCTTTACTATAGAAAGGAATTTTTTATGATTGTGCTCCAAATTCCACATTGTCAGCATGACTCACATTGGCCTTATTTAGAAGGTATTAGGTTTTAACTTGGGTAGCCCCAGCTGCATTTTCTTACGCATCACTGTAACATGAAGTGACCTTGTCAGCCAGGGTGGAACATACGGGGATGGGATTTTACTTTGCTCCTTAAAACTGCAGCCACATCTAGGCTTGTCTGTGACTTGCATGGCTGTGAAGAAAGGCCACCATCATCTCCACGACAAGGTCATAAGTCTTTGTTACTAAGCTACCAGGCTGTAACTCAATTTCTGGGTGGGCAAACGGTCCCTTTGGATGACTATTTTCACGGGAATTATTGTGAGGAGAGAGAGAAGGCAGGGCAAAAGACTAAAGGAGGCCCTACCAAAGACGACGGCTTGTAAGGAGGCAGAATGAGAGGGAGGCAGAGGGGGAAGGAAGAGAGCTGGAGAAGAGGGTGAGGAGAGTCCAGAGAGGAGAATGCGGGCATGCGGGGGGAGCAGAGTGGAGGGGCAGGGACTGGGGGTGTCAGAAGCAAAAATGGGAAACCAGGGCGGGGGGGGGGAAGGGGAGGAGAGAGGGAATAGGAGAGGGGACAAAAGAAAACGGGGAGGGGAGCACTTGAAATGAAGGTGGTAGGAGAGAGCGGGGAGGAGAATGGAAGGGAAAGAATATTCAAGGAAAGAAAAGAAAGCAGGCACGAGAGCCGTGAAACAACACCCAGGAATCCCTGGAAGTTCTAAGATGTGCGGCGGTGCTGCTGGGAGCAGCTCTTGCGCGTGGGCGTTCGGGCTCCCAGGACGTATAACCCGACCTGAGACCATCAGAGACCCAAGAGGCGAGGATCTCACTATTCCTGTTTCTGTGGACATGGCCAGGGTGCTGGTCTCACTATTCCTGTTTCTGTGGACATGGCCAGGGTACTGGGACATTGTGTTTTCCCTCCATACTCTTCATGTCTTCTTGAACAAGGGTGTACAGAAAAACGTGTCAGTGTCCTTTGGGGCCAGGAAGGGATTCTTGAGGCTAGCGCTGGCTTCCTATGATGTCTGCTTTAGGTAATGACTTGAAAACCTACCCCTCCTGCCTCCACTGAGAGATCACTCTGCGTTCCACCAGGCACGTAAGCATGATTGGGATGAAGAAGGGGAGAAGGTGGAAGATGCTGTGTTGCCTTCCATCACGTACCTCATCACTCAAAAGAGAGGACATACATTAGTCAGTAGCACTGATCAAAATAGGGCTGCCAAGAAAAAATAAAGTGGCTTATATATTTCATGGTTCATCATAGGAGAAGCTCTGTGCTCACCAGTCATGGTGATTCACTGCTATAATCCCAGTCCTTTTGGAAGCTGAGGAGACAGGGTTGCTTCATCCTAGGAGTTTGAGATCAGCCTGGGCAATATAGCAAGATCCTATCTCTTAAAAAAAAATAGACAGACATGGTAGCACATGCCTGTGGTCCCAGCTACTTGGGAGGCTGAGTTGGGAGGATTGCTTGAGCTCAGGAAGTCAAGGCTGCAGTGAGCTGTAATCGAGCCACTGCATTCCAGCCTGGGCAACAAAGTCAGACCCT